AATCTGAAGGAGGGCCCAGATTGGCCAGAAACTGTATTCCTCCTGCCCTGAATGTTGTCTGGGTACCTGCACACAACAAGTGAATGTATCCGACCGCGGTACCTTTGACTCTACAGTTGACTTTGACTGTTGAATTTCCTTTGTACTGTGTTCGGTCACACAGCCTCCTCGACAGACTCAGGCTGGGCATGTCTCGGTCACATAGCCCAGCATAGTCTGTGCTTTACCGGGGGCAACGTTCTAAGCCCCGGTCTGCTGCTGAACAGGGTTACTGCATTCCTGCCGACCCATATGTCGAGTTCCATCGCAGAAACATTTAAGACTTCAACCCACGTTCATAAGCAGAGACGATATCAGGAGCAGATTCAAGGAGTTCTCTTTTACTAAACCATCTGTCCTGAGATGGTTTCTGACTTTTAAAACGAACCTTGAATTGCTTTTGGGGTCGTCCTCGTGCACCTGTAGAGAAGAATCCTTGTTCTATAAGTCAGTCCACTTCATATCCACCATCCATATCTGGCGGTATCATAGATGGTCTATGAGGGAATTCATCTCCTTCTACGTAAGGTAGCAACTTAGACGCATGAAAGACAGAATAGGTCCTGAGATGAGGGGGTATATCAATTCTGTAAGACAGTCCCTCTGCATCTCCAATTACTTTAAGAACTTCCCAGGGTCCAAAATAGACAGGCAGGAGTTTTTGAGAGACATTTTCTTCTAGTGAAAACTCTTTAGACTTAACCCAGACCAAATCACCTTCTCTGAACGTTGATGGTCGTCGATGCTTATTAGCTTGTTCGATCATCCGGTCCTGAGCTTTCTTCAAGTTCTCCTTTACCTTTTCAATGTCTTCTTGAAACAATACTGCGTATTTGCGGGTCCCTGGAGGTAACCTAAGGAACTGGTCCCTCGTCAATACATCAATGGGACGCTTAGGTTTCCACCCTTTATGCAGTGCGTTAGGTGCTCGTCCTATAGAGGTATGAACACTACTATTATATGCACTTGCTATCTTAGGTAAGTTCTCATCCCAATCTATTTGATCGGGTCTTACATACATGCGCAGAAGCTGTTGGCACAAACGGTTCATTTGTTCACTCTGCCCATTCGTTTCAGGGTGTCTACCTGACGACATGGTCAGACGTGTACCGTATGCCTCCATCAGCTTTTGCCATGGCATACTTGTGAACCAGGTATCTCTATCAGATACAATGGATAAAAGGAGACCATATTCAATCACCCATCGCATCTGAAACTTTTGGATTACAAGTTCCGTTCTAGCTTTTTCGGGTAAGGGAATGAACATAGCATATTTAGAGAAACGATCCACGATCACCATCACTTGACTATTCCCATTCCGACTTTTGGTGAGACTCATGAAATCTGTGGAAATAGACTCACCTGGTTCGCTTGGAATTGGTAACAGTCTGAGAAGACCAAGTGGATTTTCATGTGAGGATTTGTTTCTCTGACACACAAGACAAGTACGAACATAAGTTAGTACATCCTCTTTCAATCCCTTCCATTCAAAGCGTTCTCTAACTTCAGCGTAAGTTTTCTTSAAACCAAAATGACCTTCGGCGTCGTGACATTCCCYAATAATCAGACTTTTGATTTCTTCCTGGTGAGGAATACACAATCGTTGTTCAGTTTGGTCTAGCAAGAAAAGCAAACCATCAGTTATCTTATAGTTGGGAAGCAGACTTGGATCTTTTGCAAGGACATCCCTGATAGGTTTCCATATTGGGTCATTAACATATCCTTCGCGAATTCTATCTTTCAGATCATTCCCAACGTCTAGGTAAGAGACAATGACACCAAAAAAATCACATCTCCTAGACAATGCATCTGCAACCACGTTAGACTTACCTTTGATAGTGTTTAACTCAAAATCAAAAGTATCAATGAATGCAGACCATTGTACTAGCTTATCAGAGAGCCTAGGCTGTGTCTTTATCCACTTCGGGGTAGAGTGGTCTGAGTACACAGTGAAGTGTCTCCCTAATAGATAGTGTTTCCAGTTGTCTAAGGCACAGACTAACGCATACAATTCTCTTTCGTATGTGGAATTGACAACCTTTCCAGATGGCAATCGTGAAGACATAAACTCAATCGGTCTGTAGCCATTGCCGTCGTTCTGTTGAAGAACTGCGCCAATCCCATACTGACTTGCATCAGTGGTGACAATAAAGGGAAGAGATGGATCAGCAATTTTCAAAACAGGGTAGTGAGTCAGAGCGTACTTTACCTTTTTGAACGAGGACTCACAATCCTTGTCCCACAATCAGATCATTCCTTTCTTTAACAATCTTCTCATTGGTGCAGCGATCAATGAGAAGTTCCTGACAAACTTCCTACAGTAGCTTGCCAAGCCAAGAAAAGATCGTAACTCAGTTACAGACTTAGGTTGTGGCCAGTCTCTAATTGCTGATATTTTCTTTTTTTCAGGCCTGAGGCCATCTTGGTTCACTATATGTCCTAAGTATAAAACTTCCGACTTAGCGAACTCAGACTTCTTCGGGTTGATTTTGAAGTTGCCCTCTCGTAACTTACTCAAAACCAGACGAAGATGTTTCTCGTGTTCTTCTAGTGTTTTACTATATACGAGAATATCATCCAGATAGACAATGACAAACTGGTCCAACCATTAATGAAATAACTCGTTCATTGACCGTTGGAATGTAGCAGGAGCATTGGTCAATCCGAAGGGCATTACCATAAACTCGTAATGGCCATACCTGGTCCGGAAAGCAGTCTTGTGTTGATCCGCGGGCTCCACCTCTATCTGATGGTACCCAGACTTCAGATCAATTTTATTGAAGTACTTGCATCCCTGTAGTCGGTCAAGTAAATCGTCGATGCGAGGGAGTGGTTCGACATTCTTGACAGTGACGGCATTCAACCCTCG